CACCTGAGCCCGGGAGGTCAAGGCTGCAGTGAGCCATGACTGCACCACTGCACTCAGGCCTGGGTGACAGAGCAAGACCCTGTCTCAAAAGAAAAAAAAACAGGAACCAGCCTCACTTAGATAGCACTGCACTACACGGTGCACCATGATTTCCCTTTACTGAGACCCATCACAACCACATATGTCTCCACCGGCCAGGGACGGGCTATATGAGCTCAGAAGAGGCAAATGTTATTTGGGGGTAGTTGGGAACGTGCAGGGCTCCCCCGAGCACACCCTGCCTTACAGGTTGTGTGATTACAAGGAAAAAGTTATTTTGAAGCATAGTGCCAGCGAGCATGACACGTCTGCAGAGGCCCTGCTCGTCCCAGGCCTGCCAGGTCGTGCCCCGGGTTAGAGTTCTACTAACACAATCTAAATTCTCACAGTACATGTTAATGACCTGAGAGCCAAAGACAAAAACCTGTCTTAAGATGTATGGAATTTCACAGAAGGCCAACAGCAACAGATACAACAGTGTGCACAACGAATTCCCTAGGCAATTTAATCCGAAGAACCAGATAAAAACATGTCACCGCAATTGAAAAAGGCTCGTAGGCACATAGTGTGCATATCAGAATTTCTGCTGAACACTGAACGTTGAGTTTTGTTGGGAGGTGGCAACTATCATGAAAATAGAAAAGTACCAGGAGCAGACTTGAGCTGGGCAGGAACATGAAATTAAACAAATGTATCCGTGTTTAAAAAAAGATTCGAATTCAAACTTGGAAGGATACAGTATCTGAAAATAAAAAGGTTTCTAGCTGGCAGGGAGGTAGAAGAGACCCCTGAAAATAATTGTCTGAGACCTGGAATCTAGACCAGCTCTTCCTAAAGCAGCCCAGATCTTACTCATGGTTTCTCTTTTGAAAAACAGGGTTGGGACCAAAAGGCTTTCCATGTCCCTTCCAGATCTAAGCGTCTCTCACTCTGGGTGAGACGCAGGCTGGGTGCGGTGGCTCACGCCCGTAATCCTACCACTTCAGGAGGCTGAAGCAGGCGAATCACCTGAGCTCAGGAGTTCCAAGACCAGGAAAACATGATAAAACCCTATCTCTACTTAAAATACAAAAAATTAGCCAGGCAGGCCAGGCACGGTGGCTCACACCTGTAATCCCAGCACTTTGGGAGACCAAGGCAGGTGGATCACCTGAGGTCAGGTGTTCAAGACCAGCCTGGCCAACATGATGAGACCCGTCACTACTAAAAATATAAAAATTAGCCAGGCATGGTGGTGCATGCCTGTAGTCCCAGCTACTCAGGAGGCTGAGGCAGGAGAATTGCTCGAACCCGGGAGGTGGAGGCTGCAGTGAGCTGACATTGCACCACTGCATCCCAGTCTGGGAGACGGAGTGAGACTGTCTGAAAACAAACAAACAAAATTTTAAAAATAAAATAAAAAAGTAAAGCAAAAATTGCAAACCGGTGGCCTACTGGCCAGCTAAAACCCCTCAATGTTTTGTTTCAGCTGCATGGAGCTTTGTTCCCTAACTGAATAGAAATGCCGCTAAATTGAGGCCCTCCAGTTTGCCACGATCACTGCCGTTCCTTACTGCCTTGCCCCAGCCTGCTTCCCGTTTTGCCATCACCTGCTCTGCCCCGAAGGACTCAGGCTTGGGACTGCTGCGCTATGAGGTGAAGGGATTTCCATCACTGCACCTGATCTCATTCCCACTTAACCCGACTGATAGACGATGTCAGTTTACTTTGGTTTCTACCTGATAGCTGAGCAAATTTCAAGGCTTTACAATGTGGAGGGGGCGGGCACCCTGTAGAGTACTATCACCCCTATTACACAGGACACTAACAGCTCAAAACGCAGAGACGTCTTCAAAGTCACAGAGTTAGCAAGTCAGAGAGTTGAAATAATTTCCATTGCCAAAGAAATATTTAATTTGAAAAATCTGAAAAGATATAAACTGAAAACAAATTTTGTATATGTATATGATTACAATTAATATTTATGATACATCACGTTTAATTGCAAAAATGTGAGCTTTTTATATATTCACCATTTTGTATATATTTGCTATTTTTTTAAGAGAGGTGGGTCTCACTATGTTGCCCAGGTCAGACAGAAGTGGCTGTTCCCAGGCATGATCATAACACACTACAGCCTTGAACTCCTGGGCTCAAGTGACCTCCTGCCTCGGCCTCCCAAGTAGCTGGGACTGTAGGTGAATAACACCATGCCCCACTTTTATGTTGTATATATTTGGACATAGTCACTTACTCTATTATTGTAGGGTACTGGCTTTTTGTTATTGTGGTAAAATAACAATTAAAATTTACCATTTTAACCATTTTTAAGTGTACAGTTCAGTGGCATTAAATATATTTACATTATTGTTCAACTCTCACCACCACTAATCTCCAGAAGTTCTTCATCTTATAAAACTGAGAGTCCGAAACACTGAACCACAACTCCCTCCAGCCCCTGCTCCAGTCTACTTGCTGTCTCTGTGAATCTGCCTGCTCTAGGTACTTCATCCTAGCAGAATTCCATAGTATTTCTCCTTTTGTAACTGGCTTACTTCCCTTAGTTTCACCGATGAACCTTGAAGACACTATGCTGAGGGAAATAGACCCGTCATGGCTTTACATTCTGACTGTGATTTGAAAGCAGCAAAGGTGTGTGTTAAAAATGGCTATGAACTTTGCAGATGCCTAGCAAGAGAGCATGGGATGTGAAGGACCCAGCCCGGAAGGCTTCCTTCTGCACGAAATACCCAAACATACAAGTAGCCTTTATGAGCTGAACTAAAAAAAGGATTTCTGAGCACAGGCTCCTGGCACATAAAGCTCAGAATAGCTGAGCTGAGCTTACCAAGTATAACAGCACAAAATGTCACGCCAGGAATATTGAATGTGGGAGTTCATTGCTCAAGGAAAAAAAAATGCCTCACCTAATTTAAGGAAACTCTAAATGAATCCATTTTTCTGTTGTAAAATCTCTACATTGCAACAGTCCCATCTGGTGCTAACTATATTTGCTCAGAGAAAGGAGTACCACAAAAGAAAGCTTATTTAGAGCACACGATGGTTTCTGGATGGTTCTTCCATCTACTAGAGAACATGACAGAGACCTAGGAAATGGACCCTATGTGTGGACAGAAACTTGTGTCAACGGAAGGTTAGAAACATCACATTCCAGGCCAGGCGTAGTGGCTCAGCTTGGAATCCCAGCACTTTGGGAGGCCAAGGTGGGTGGATCACTTGAAGCCAGGAGTTGGAAACTAGCCTGGCCAACATGGTGAAACCTCGTCTCTACAAAAAAGACAAAAATTAGCCAGGCATGGTGTTGCATGCCTGCAGTCCCAACTACTTGGGAGGCTTCCATCGCTTGGGCCCCGGACGCAGAGGCTGCAGTGAGCCTAGATCACACCACTACACTCCAGCCTGGGCAACACAGTGAGGCACTGTCTAAAACAAAACAAAACAAAAATCACCTTCTGCGTCAACAAGGTGATCAGACTCATCTCACCTTACACCTGAAGGCTGTGCTTCTGTACCATCCATCTCCTGTGAGACGGTCACTCTGGGAAATCGGCAGGGTAGCCAGTCCTACCGTATCAGGGGATTGTAAGTTACTACAGACTTGGTTTCAGGTCAGTGACAGAAATATAGATTAGTTTCCTGCTGTCCCTATCACAAGGGAGGAGTCTGATGGGAAAGAGAACACACACTGCTGGGCTTTGCTAGGAAGCACACACTATCCATCTCTCAGGACCCTGCCTCCTGCTTGTGCCTACACAGCAACTCTGCTCAAGTGACCCTCCTGCCTCAGCCTCCAGAGCAGCTGGGATTACAGATGGGCAACATGGTGCCTTGTTTTTAATTAGTATATATTGGAATATAGTCACTTAGGGTATAATTGTAGCCTTGGTCAAGCTGCATAACCTCTCAGTGCCTCAGTTTCCTCATCTGTGCCAAAGTGGAGCAGCAATAGAATCTCTATTGGACAACTGCTATCATAAGGATCCAATGATTGGTGCATTTGAAGCAATGAAGTGACCGAACCAGAGCTGCTGCCAGGCACTGGCTGACACTTTAGGAGTCCCCAGGGTGGATGATGAGCAAGGGCCGTGCTCTACATTTTGTGTGATTTGAGGGTTTTTAAATGTCTGTGGTTAGTTCACATCCCCAAAGCAAATACATTCTCTCTTCTGGAGACACTCCAGAAGAAAAAACAAAACAAAAACTGATATTTTTAACTCCTAACCCCAGGTACCTGTGAATGAAACCTGATTTGGAAATCAGGTTACTGCAGATTTAATCAAGCTACAATGTGGCCACACTGGGGTAGGGCAGGTCCTCGATCCAATATGTCTGGTGTCCTTATAAGAAGAGACGCAGAGAGGAAAACGCCAACTGAAGATACTTTATGCAAAGGCAAGGAAACCAAGTGATGACAGAGACAGATTTGGAGCTCCATGGCTGCAAGCCAAGAAACGCCAGAGACTGCCAGCAGCCACCAGACGACAGAGAGAGCACGTGGCACCGCCAACCCAAGGGTTTTGGACTTCTGGCCTGTGGAACTGTGAAAAAATAAATCTCTCTTTTTCTTGATAGAGTCTCACTCTGTCACCCAGGCTGGAGTACAGTGACACGATCTCAGCTCACTGCAAACTCCACCTCCCAGGTTCAAGAGACTCTCTTGCCTCAGCTTCCCGAGTAGCTGGGATTAGAGGCATGCACCACCACGCATGGATAATTTTTGTATTTTTAGTAGAGATGGGGTTTCACCATGTTGGCCAGGCTGGTCTCAAACTCCTAACCTAAGATGATCCACCTGCCTCGGCCTCCCAAAGTGCTGGGAATACAGGCATGAGCCACTGTGCCCAGCCAAAAACTGGATTTCTGTTGTTTTAAGCCACACAGTTTCTGTTGCTTTGTTACAACAGCCCTGGAAAACTAGGACATTGTCTTAACTTTTTTTTTGTTGTTGTTGTTATTTTATTACTGTTATTTTATTCTGTTAAGTCCATATATTATATAAAACATAAAAGGAAAAATGAACAAATGTATAAAATAAATTGAGGCGTTTGGATGAAAAAAATACAGGCGCTTTGCCTTCATGTCTGTAGCTCTCTTAATGTATTGTTGGCCTTGCATGTTAGATATCAAATAGATATCTAGCTTGACACAAAAGTTGGCAGCTGCAAGGTGAAGCTGCACTAGTGTGATGAGGGGCCAGGAAATGATACATTTCTCAATGCTATCCTTAAATATTGGCTATAACAAATGCTGGTGGAGCAAAACGCAAGCTTTTATTACACAGCAAGAGGGAAACGTGAGTGATGAATGCAACGTATCTCCAAGTCCTCTTAAAGGAGGTAAAAAAAATAAATACTGTGTTTTACCAGTGCTCCCCCAAAGCATTATTCTAAGCACGCAGGAGAGTATAGTGAGCAGCTACAATAATAAGATCCGACCCAGAGGTAGGTTCAAGGCCAAGAGTAGGCGAGTGGCTGAGGAAATCCTCCTGGGCCAGCACCGTTTCATAGAACGCCCATTTGTGCTGGGGGATGAGTCTACGGCCTATTTTCTTCTCATTCAAAAGAACATTCCCAATTTCAACCTTGTTGAAAAAGAGGCATTTTTGTACCTGCTATTAACAACAGCTAGGATACAGGATAAGGCTGGGATAAAAATATTTGGCAAGCACATGCTAGCTATTCTAGTCTGAAATCTACCCATCTGTAGGCCGGGCACGGTGGCTCACACCTGTAATCCCAGCACTTTGGGAGGCCGAGGCAGGTGGATCACCTGAGGTCAGGAGTTCAAGAACAGCCTGACCAACATGGAGAAACCCCGTCTCTACTAAAAACACAAAAATTAGCCAGGTGTGGTGGCACATGCCTGTAATCCCAGCTACTCAGGAGGCTGAGGCAGGAGAATCACTTGAACCCAGGAGGTGAAGGTTGCAGTGAGCTGAGATTGCACCATGCACTCCAGCCTGGGCAACAAGAAAAAAGAAAAGAAATCTACCAAACTGTAAAATCAGGGAGAAATAAAAAGTTAAAGAGAAATAAAAAGCTGTTCCTCAAGATGAGGGAACACAATTTTACAAAAGGAGCGATTAGGCACTCGCTCAGGTCTATACGGAGAACATCCTTCTCAAGCTAGCTGGAAGGTGAGGAATAATACTACCAAAGACTGACCAGGCCACTGGGAGACCAAAAGGAGAGGAAAAAAGCCATTTAGGAAGCAAGCTAGTAAAAGAAGTTATTCTAGGTCTGACTGGGTAAGTGAATCTACGGCAACCATACCGAAGATACGTTACCCATTACTCCAGCATGAAGCCAGTGGCAAAATACCTCAAGACATTTTAAACCCAGAGAAGCGTATGAAAAATACCATAGTTAACCAAGCAAATTAAAATCAAACCACTGACGGTAAAAATCTCTTCAGATCTGTAATCCAAGATACTCATTTTCCATTAATTCTGGGTCTTATGGGGGAAAAAGAAAAGTAACAAAAGTAAACTTTTTTTTATTTCTGCTGGGGAGGGAGTAGGACAAATAGGACTGTTTTCCAGTTTGCCCTCCACGGTGCACACACCCACACACACACCCACACACACACACACACACATACACCAAAAATACCCCAAACAACAAAAACCGGGAATCAAAAACCGAAACAGCCTCAAACTGCACCAATACTTCATATTTTGACAAAAAAAAAAAAAATATATCCTGGAAGTGCAAAATACAAAATCAAATGACCAAAAAATGCTGAACAAACAGCATTATTAATATACAAAATATTTATATTACTCAACTCGTAACTAGTTACAGGTGATGTTCTCCGTGTCTGTAAAACTTTGGAACCGCATAGCTGATTTGTTAACTCCAGTCCACGCCAGCTTCCAAAACCCCACATTGTAGCTAGCTTCATTGCTTGATGCCTCATCAGAATTTCCTAAAAGATTGGGAGCATCATCCTCCTCCTCATCGATGCCTTCTGGTTTTGGTGCTTCACTGCCTAAGACTTGCCGTGGGAACTGCCCGGCCAACTTCCAAAGGCTTGTTAAGCTGTCGGCACCGAGCTGACAATGTTCCAGGAAGCGTTTCTGTGATTGCTTTGGCTTCTGCATGACCACAACTGCAAAAGTGTCAGCAGAAAGGGAAGCCTGGACTTTGGATTGTTGAAATGAGTAATTGTCCCGTCATCTTTAATCATGTTCACCTCTTCCATACTAGCTATAGTATTCACAGCCAGTTTTTTTTTTTTTTTTTTTTTTTTAGAGAACTCTGAAGCTTTCTGTCATCAGCTGTAGCTGTTCTATGTACCACCTTCTTCTTTCTGTGAGCTGTACCCTTGCCCCCTCTCCAGACCTGAGCCTGAAGTTTGGCTAACTTTTCTTGATTCATGCTGCTGGTAAATCTGAAGCAGGGAGGGTCCTCTAACACTAGCAGCACGCGGCAAGAGCAAGATGGTTGCCACCATCTTAACTGTTTAAATCCTCTAGGGCTAGCAGAGAGAGGACATGCCATACATGTCCATTGAATGAATACATAAATGAGAAAAGATAAACACAGAGATAAGGCACACCTGGAGGGGGACAGGGCACACGAACACCTGTAGGGGGACAGAGTCCACACACACCTGGAGGGGGACAGAGCCCACATACACCTGGAGTGGGACAGGGCACATGCACACCTGGAGTGGGGGACAGAGAACACACACACCTGGAGGGGGATAGTGCTCACCCATATACCTGGACAGGGAGTCACTGGATCTTTTCTGTGAGCCCTCAGGCCCCAACTTTGGGTCTAAATGGGCAGCTGAAACTTGGCTCCTGTAAAATCTATTATGTGGGTATGTCCCAGAGTACAAGCACTTCAAATTTTCCAAGGAACTGGATTTTTAGGTGAAATATTCCATGTTTTTCATGTTTAAGTGCCCCCCTCAGGGGCCATTTGCAACTCCAGTGTCTGGCGACCCCGGGCAGGATGCGCACTGGCTAATGAGTCTGTGGCGTAAAGGAAAACGCATTTTCACAGGCCAGGCAGGAGGACAGCACAGCCAAGTGGATCTTCCCGGACACACAGATGTCCTATTGTCCTCTGTTAGCTACCAGGGTTAGGACTTAGATCCTGCCTCCCCTCATGTGAAACTTAAAAAAGCATCTGAGCAAAGGAAATCCAACTGAGGGAAGAGAAGCAAATCTCTAGGATCTGGATGCATCACACAGGACCTAGTCAAGGAGAAAGAGCTCTGAAGCTGGGAGTCAGGACACCTGACCCCTCAACTCGAAGCAAATCATCCCTCTCGGTCTAGGCTTCATCCACAAAATGAAGGGGTAAAATGTATACTTGCCACCTCCTAGGGTGTGAGGAGGCCAGTGAGAGAGCACGGGTGACCAGGCTTTGTCAGTACTGCAAGGACAGTGGCACCTTCCTAATCCTACTGGCACCATCATTCTAATGCCACTCCCACCAAGTCACCATTAGACCTGGGGACCACTTTTCCAATGCACCCACTGGGGCAGAGATTTTCTTCTTCTTTTTCATAGACTACCTAAATTAGGGCAGCTGGAATATCTCAAAAGAAAGCTTCCGAGACTATGCTGAGGGAAGAAGGGTATTTGGGTTCCAGTATTGTGGGGACCCCCCAGTGTTTAGGCACACGACAGTCCTGGGAACAGAAGCTCCTGCGTCCCCTGGGACTTTGTCACTGGGGTGCTGTGTGTGGCTTCAATGTGACCAAGACAAAACCAACCTGGCAGAGTAGGGCCTGCTGCAATCCTTCCGTTTCTCCATCATCTGCTGCGCAGGCAGAATCAATACCGCTGTGCGTTTCTTCTTTTTCCAGAGATGGGACAATGTGGGATGCCTGCTGGGCGGGGTCACAGCTCCATACTTGGGAGGGGGAAGACATGTCAGAGCTCTCTCACCTGGACCCCCATCTTTCCTCAGACTTCCTGCCTCTGTCCCTTTCGGAACTGAAGGCCTGTTCTTAGCCAGAGGCCTTTCTTCTCAAGCATGAGTCCCCTGCCCTCCAGTTGCTTGGCCCAGTAAGGAAGTCAGACAAGTAGGCAGGCAACTGTGATCAAGTGATGTGAATGCCAGCGGTGTGGGGTGTGGGGTAGGTGTGGTCTGGGCATGCGGAGGGCAGGTCACGAAGGCAGGGGGGCATGCTGCTCAGAGGGTCAGAGATTTCACGAAGGGCAAGCAGATATCAGCCTCTCCTTGTTTACGTGTGACCTCTGTGGTGTAGGCGGGCCTACACCCTTGCTGCCTAGCACAGAATTATGTATTGACAGGGATGCACTAGATTACCATGGTTTAGGACAGCAGCCCTCAGTTCAGCCGACGCCTCTGTACTCATCCGATAGCCTTCGGTTCCCTTCCAGCAGCTTCAAATGTTTGCTCTATCAACACCCCTGTGGCTGGCTAGTGCTAGAAGAAAAAGGATGCAAACACCCTATACACCTTGTCCTGAAGTAGGAGAGACCAAAGCTTAATAGTGTGCAGCTTTAAAAGTTGAGAGAGGTGTGCCACAGAGGGAGGCCAGCTGGCCGGCCAGACGGTCCCTCACAGTAAACAATACCTGAGTCCATTCAAGAGCCCGCAGCTCAGAAACACGAGGCTCTCGGTCCATGCAGAATTGACCTTGGTCGGGGTTGGGAAGGAGGGGACGCTCATTCATGCTCAACAGAGTCACAGGCCAATGTGTAAACAAGCAAAAGGCCAGTTTACCAATCTACCTTTCCAGCAGCTATTCCTGTCTGCCATCGGGGCATGTGCTGATATGCATAATTCGTGTACTCATTAACAAGGTTTTCACAAGCACCAAGTGTCCATTAGTTCGTGAACTGTGAGCACCTGGCTGGGGGAAATAATGCAGCCAGATGAGGTGGAGATCCAGAAAGGGGAAGCAGAATTGTGCAATGAGCTTGGCGTCACACAAGCTGGAGTTCAAACGCCACCCATCATTTATTAGGGAGGTGACTTCGGAGAAGTCTCTTTCCTTACCTGTAAAATGGGCATAACAACATCCCCTTACATGATTATTAAAGAATGGGATTACATATGTAAAATGCCTAGTTTTGTTTGTTTTTGTGTTTATCTGGAGAGGCTATGCCACATAATTTTTAAGGGAACAGGTTTTGGGATCAGAAAGATGTGTCTTTAAATCCTAGCTCTGCCACTTACTAGGTACATGATTTGGGTAAATTGCTTAATTTTTTTTTCCACTAAGCCTCAGTTTGCTCATTGGTAAAATGGGAATACAAATTTCTCATAGGGTTTGAGAAATAAGATAATGTATGCAAAGGACTTAGAAAACTTCTAGGATATAAGCATTCAACAAATGCTATGATTAAGAGTAATTTTTAGGTGCCAATATCCAGAATAAGCAAGGAACTCAACCACAAAAAATAATAAATCTGATTTTAAAATAGACAAAGGATCTCAATAAATATTTCTCCAAGAAAAACATAAAAATGGCCAACACATGTATGAAAAATGCTTAACATTACTAATCAACAGGGAAATGCACATCGAAACCGCAAATCAAAACCACAAAAACAAAACAATAACAAATTCTGGCAAAGTTACAGAGAAAAGGAAACCGATGCACTGTTGGTGGGAAGGTAAATTAGCACAGCCATTACGAAAAACAGCATGGAGGCTTCTCAAAAAAATAAAAATAGATCTTCCATGTGATCCAGCAATCCCACTACTGAGTATTCATCCAAAGGAAATCAAATCACTATTATCAGAGAGATATCTGCAGCCCCATGTTTACTGCAGCACCAGTCACAGTACCAAAGATACGGAATAAACTTAAGTGTCTACCCACAAATGGATGGATAGGCTGGTTGCAGTGGCTCATGCCTATAATCCCAGCACTTTGGGAGGCCAAGGCGGGAGGAATGCTTGAGGCCAGGAGTTTGAGACCAGCCTGGGCAACACAGTGAGACCCTATCTTATTATTAAAAAAAAAAAATGGATAAAGAAAATTTATAGGGGGGCCACGGTGGCTCCGACCCGTTGACCTGGTGCTTGAGGCGAGGCCATGAGTTCAAGGCCAACCTGAGCAACTTACATGCTCTCATTGATTGACAAAAAGAAAAAAAAAAAAATTTATTACAGGCCAGGCAAGGTGGCTCACACCTGTAATCCCAGTACTTTGGGAGGACAAGGTGGGTGGATTACAAGGTCAGGAGTTCGAGACCAGCCTGTTCAATATGGTGAAACCCTGTCTCTACTACGAAAATACAAAAATTAGCCAGGCATGGTGGCACACACCAATAGTCCCAGCTACTCAGGAGGCTGAGGCAGGAGAATTGCTTGAACCCAGGAGGCAGAGGTTGCAGTGAGCTGAGATTGCACCACTACACTCCAGTCTGGGCAACAGAGTGAGATGTGTGTGTGTCTGTGTGCTAGAATACCATTCAGTCATTAAAAAAAAAAAAATGAAATCCTGTTATCTGAAGCAACATGGCGGAGACTGGAGAACAGTATCATATTAAGTCAGGCACAGAAAGATAAATACCACATATTCTCATTTATATGTGGGAGCTTAAAAAAATTGACTTCATGGAAGTAGAGAGTTGAATTGTGATTTGTTAAAAGCTGGGAAGGGTAGTGAGAGGGGAAGAGAGGAAGAAATTGATACAAAATTACAGCTTTACAAGTTCTAGTGATCTGTAGTATTTCAGGGGAATATACTTAACAATAATCTAGTGTACATTTTCAAAAAGCTAGAGAATTCTGAATGTTCCCAACACAAAGAAATGATAAATATCTGAGGTGATGGATATGCTGATTACTCTTTGATTATATTGTATACATGAACTGAAATGTCACTTTGTATCTTGTGTGTAGTTATGTGTTAAATAAAAATAAAAGGGAAAAAATAACACAAGTTTGTTTGTTTTGAGACGGTCTCACTCTGCGGCCCTGGCTGGAGTGCAATGGCTCGATCCTGGTTCACTGAAACACCTCCCTCCCGGGTTCAAGTGATTCTCCTGCCTCAGACTAAAGGTATGTGCCACCACGCTCCGCTAATTTTTTGTATTTTTAGTAGAGACTGGGTTTCACTGTGTTAGCCAGGATGGTCTCAATCTCCTGACCTCGTGATCCACCAGCCTCGGCCTCCCAAAGTGCTGGGATTACAGGCGTGAGCCACCGCGCCCGGCCTGGGATCCGCTTTTCTAGTTTGTCTGAAGGGAGTCCTGGTCCTCATAAGGCACTGTGCATTTGGCGCAACAACTATACACCAGCTTACGCACTGTGGGATTAGAAAAGTCTCTGCTCTAAAGGACACAAATCACCTCTCAATTCTGGATCGTGCCTTTTTTTCTTCCCACCAACACTGCCGATTTTTGTTTATAAAGCTTTCAAGTTATGAAAGCGCGATCTTGGATTTTAATAAAAATCAACATAGCTTCCAATTCTAACCTTAGTGCAAATGCAACTGGTCTAAAACAAAAGGCAGCCCCTTATCCACCTCATCCTGTCCTCAGCAACACTGCCCTTTTCCAGATCGGGAAATCTGCACGGCCATTCAGGACTTCACGATGATTGCACCGGAAACCAGAGTGCAGGTTAGAGGGGCTCTCACTCTACTGCGGCCAAGTTATGTCTTCAAACTTCAGGGTGGACTATGGATGCGTTTTTAAGTCTCAAGTTTTCACACACACACAAATCCAAGTTTCAGAAAGAATGTTTCAACAGAAAATATGAGAGCCTCTTTCTAAATTTTTTTTTTTTTTTTTTGAGACAGTCTCTCCCTCTGTCGTCCAGGCTGAAGTGCAGTGGTGTGATCTCGGCTCACTACAACCTCTGCCACCCGGGTCCAAGGCTTCTCCTGCATCAACCTCACAAGTAGCTGGGATTACAGGCCCGCCACCATGCCAGCTAATTTTTTGTATTTATAGTAAAGAATGGGTTTCACCATGTTGGCCAGGCTGATCTCGAACTCCTGACCTCAGGTGATCCGCCCACCTCGGCCTCCAAAAGTGCTGGGATTACAGGCGTGAGCCACCGCGACCATCGCGTAAACAGTAATTTTCAATGGAATACATTGGAATCTCATTATAAAACTCCTGCCCAGGGCTACGATTTCCCTGTCAAGGAATTCACAAGTCATTAACTGGAGGGTACAGGGAAGCAGGAAGGACGGACAGCGCTTTTCAAGCCTGGGAGGGGGTAAGCCTTCACCAGAAGGCGAGACCCCACCACCAAGCGCCTACAGGAGGCCCCAGGATTCCAAACCAATTAAGGGCTGCCTCTTCCGAAAACGGGAAGCGACGCGATGAGCCTTATAAGCTAAGCGCGGAGGCCGGGTGCGGGCTGGCACCCAGGCGGCGGGGCAGCCTCACGACCGCCACGGGCGGTCACTGGCGAGGCTCGGGCTCATTCCGCCGGCGGCCACTCCACCCGGGTCCGACACAGAAGACAGCCCTGGGAATAAATAACCCAGGCCTGGGGCTCAGGATGGAAAAACAACTCAGTCCTCGAGGCCCAGAGACTTGCGTCCCCGGGGGGGGGGGGGGACCGGAAAACAGACGAGCGCCCGCAGCTGGGAGAACGCGGTCGGGTTTCCTCCCCCCCAAAGTGTCGGCCACAGAAGCACGGCCTCGAGAGCGGTTTCGAGGGCGATGGTCCTGGGACCCGGGAGTCGCCGCGACGCCGCGGCCTGGCCCAGACCCGGCGTGGAGGGAAACCAACCGCCATCTTCCCCGCAGCGCCCAAATTGACAAAGCACTATCCCCCGCGGCCCGGCCCTGCAGCCAGGGCCTTTCCGGCTCTCGCGACAACCTAAGGTTGCGCCGCTAAGGCCTCTGGGAAACGGGAGGGGAGAGGAAGGAAGCGGGGATCGGGGCTGGAGGCGGGCCGAGGCCACGAGTGGAGCCTCAGGAAGCAGAAGGGGTGCGGAACGGCGCGATTGACGCCGCAAGCGAACCAATGACGAGCGAGCTATGGCAGGCCTCCAGCCAATGGACAGTGAGGCCTCACGCGGGGGGCGGGCGCTGGGGCCGAGGGTAGCTTGAGCTCGGCGGCGGCGTTGTTCAGTCAGAGCGAGAACATTCCAGAGGTGAGTCCGGTGGAGGGTCGGCGGCCCCGCGCCCCCTGCCCGGTTCTCCCCGCACCCCCGACCCCGCGGGCTGCTGGCTGGCCGGGAAGGCGCACCCCCCGACCCGCCCGCGGCTCACGGCGCCGTCTCTCCGCGCCAGGTCGCCAGGCTCCGGCGCTGACGGGTGTGGACCGCGGACGTCGCTGGGACAGCCCCTCCCCGCTGCTCGGCGGCGGCACCTGGCCCGGCCGCTCCTCGCTGCGCTCCGCCTCCGCCTCCTCGGACTCGGACTCGGGTTTCTATCGCGCCTCACTTCATCCCAGTCCCGGGCGAGCAGCGTTGGGTTTATGTCTTTATTTGACGAAAACGGTGAGTCGCGGGCGCGGCGGGCCGGGAGATGGCGGCCGCACAAGATGGCGGCGGCCGCCGCGTGACCCCGCCGCGGCGTGTGGCGCAGTTTGGGGGGGGCGGCGGGCGGGCCCGGGCCCCGGCCGCCCCCTCCCCCTCCCCGCGCGCTCCCCGGGCCGGCCTCGCCCCTTCCCCGGCCTCGCGGGAGCGCGCCGCGCGTGCCCGCCGCTCGGGCTGACTCAGGTCTCAGCTGCTGCATTTGTGAGTCATCGCGCGCTCTGGGCGGGGGCGGCCGTAGTCCCGGCGCCCCTGGGCCCGGTGTGGCTTCCCGGCTGCGCGCCCTCCGGGGACGCGCTGGGGATGGGGCCAGACGCCCGGGTCGCGCGGTAGCCATGGGGACCGGGGCGAAGGTTAACCGAGTGTTGGAATCGCCCGGAACAGGGAGGCCGGGCCGGGCGCTGCGTTTCCGGAAGTGCTGCTCTGAAGCGGGCCGTGGTGGCCGAAGCGACCATTAGGGGTGGAGGATGGTTCCCAGTTTCCCCTTAGAAATGACGGCGGACGGGGCTGTGCCTGGGCGGGTCGCTGACCCAGGCCGCGGTGGAGGCGGCGAGGGCTCGGGCTCGTTCCTAGCACTTACTGGATGGCCGCAGAGGCGAGCGCTTGACCTGCTCATGGCCCTCGGTCTGACGGGAGCCCGCGGCGGCTGACACGGCGCGGCCTGTTTTCCTACCGGGCCTTTCCCTGCCGGAGTCGCAGCCTGGTTGGAATCCGGGCCTTTGAAGTTCCCGCAGGTGTCCTGTGTTAGAGGAGAGGGGCTATTTGCATGGGATCTCAGGTGCCGCTTCAGGTAGAATTAAGCGGAAGCATAACTAGCCGGAGTGTGAAAGGAGGCGGTGATGCTAACCCGGGCGTGGGGTTGTGTTTTCTGTCTCTTCTCTTTCAGAGCTGTTGCGCAGCCATTGGTACCTGTATTGGGGAAACATAGCATACAAGCAAGAAGCTTACAGCCTCAGTGGCGAAAATTTTTTCATGTCAGAGACCGAGAACTCTTGCAGTCGTTTATGTCATCCCTTCTTCTCCAGACAGAAGATACCAAAAAGTTGCAATCAAAGATCTCTTCATCTTATTGATAAAGCCACTAATAATAAGCCAAAATGTCTGTCAACGTCAACCGCAGCGTGTCAGACCAGTTCTATCGCTACAAGATGCCCCGTCTGATTGCCAAGGTAGTGTATGCTGCTCCTCATTTTCGTTGATAGCTCTTTTTGCAGAATTTTGAAGATTCCATCTGTCAGGGGAAACTGCAGAATTAAAATTTTTTATTTCCTTTAGGTTGAGGGCAAAGGAAATGGAATCAAGACAGTTATAGTCAACATGGTTGACGTTGCCAAGGCGCTTAATCGGCCTCCAACGTGTAAGTAGAGCTTGGAAAGTAAAAAGAGAGCACATTATGGAGAGTCTTCAAAGTCTTTGAGCTGCGAAACTTGTTCTAATTGTATGCTAGTTGATTAGCTTACAAGTTAACTGAGGAACCCTGATTTATTGGTTGCCCTGAGTTTACGAAACTACCAGGAGAACACGTTTCTTTAACCCAATAATTTAAAAAGAGTGGTGGCTCAGGAGTGCAATCCCAGCACTTTGGGAGGCCAAGGCGGGTGGGCCGTGAGGTCAGCAGTTGGAGACCAGCCTGGCCAACAAAGTGAAACCCCGTCCCTACTAAAAATACTAAAATTAGTCAGGTGTGATGGCATGCCCCTGTAGTCCCAGCTACTCATGAGGCTGAGGTGGTTGAATTGCTTCAACCTGGGGAGCACAGATTGTCCTGAGACCACACCATTGCACTGGAGCCTGGGTGGCAGAGTAAGACTTCATCTCAGGAGAAAAAAAGTGGTGGTTGAGTTAGGTGACTGTATAATGATCTAAACTCTTCTTTCATTCAAATAGATCCCACCAAATATTTTGGTTGTGAGCTGGGAGCACAGACCCAGTTTGATGTTAAGAATGACCGTTACATTGTCAATGGATCTCATGAGGCGAATAAGCTGCAAGACATGTTGGATGGATTCATTAAAAAATTTGTTCTCTGTCCTGAATGTGAGAATCCGGAAACAGATCTGGTGAGTGCTTTTGTGGTGGTTGTCAAAACAAAAGCCATATACTTACTTCTGTGATCAGTTCTATAATATCACTAAGTCACCTTCCTGAGAAGACAGAGCAGATGTATTGTAAATCAAACCCAAAACCTCCAGATTTGGAGATATTTCCATTCTTTTTTTAAAGTAGGTCACTGTGTGAAAAAAGTTTATTTTATATGTGAAGCTGTGGTTTAGATGTCTTCTGATTGAATATTTGCATCTTATGGATAACTTTTTTTTTTTTTTGGCAGCATGTCAATCCAAAGAAGCAAACAATAGGTAATTCTTGTAAAGCCTGTGGTTATCGAGGCATGCTTGACACACATCATAAACTCTGCACATTCATTCTCAAAAACCCACCTGGTGAGTCTTCACGATGAACTCCTAAGATCCTAACATAACGTGACTGTAGGGAATAAAGTGGAAGGTTTTTTTGGAATAGGAATCTAAGGGAGGCCCAGCACAGTGGCTCATGCCTGTAATCCCAGCATTTGGGGAGGCCAGGAGTTCAGGACCAGCCTGGCCAACATAGTGAAACCCACCCTCTGTTACTAAAAATACAAAAATAGCCAAGCATGGTGGCACACTCCTGTGATTCCAGCTACTCAGGTGGCTGAGGCAGGAGAATCACTTGAATCTGGGAGGCAGAGGTTGCACTGAACTGGGATCGTGCTACTGTACTCCAGCCTGTGCAACAGCAAGCCTCTGTCTCAAAGTATAAGGAACTTTCAGTCTTGGCACTACATTTTACCAAATCTAAGACATCTTTCAAAAGTGTCCTTGTTAACCATTAAAGGTGAGAAACAGGCTGCCAATTAGACTGTGCCATGTCATCAGTTAAGACAGATTATCTTCATGAAGTAATGACTAAAATTTTTATGGAAACCCAGCAAAGGATCTGTGTGAAGAGGGCCCCCTTTATTAAACTTGAGCATTGCAAGCAACACTCTGTGGCAGATAATCACAGCTGTCTGACACAATTTGAGCTTGCTATAGCAAAAAAGTCTAACCTATTCAGGTGTTCTCTCTCCCATGAGATAAGCCATTATATAGACTTAAACACTGTTCCAGCTCTTGGCTAAAGCTGGGTTGAGTAAATGACCTTGTTTATGAGGGATGGCAGAGAGGGGTCCTTAGGGCCACCTTTCACTCCCTGGTTGAGGCATCATCACTTCATTTTTATCTTCCCTAGCAGTTATATCCCTAATATTTTGTGTCACTCCATTCTTAGGTTGACATTTTCATCTTATGAAATACATGATGAATTTGATCTGTGGAGCCTCTTAAGTAGCATTGTGTGTGATGTGTGGTTTTTCTGAGGGGATGCATAGTAAAATAAGGCCAGGGTTTTAAATCTTCATAATGGGCAGTGACGTAATGTAAATTATGGGGTTATATTTTTATTTCCCTTTTTCTCTATAGAGAATAGTGACAGCAGTACAGGAAAGAAAGAAAAGGAAAAGAAAAATAGAAAGGGCAAAGACAAGGAAAATGGCTCCGTATCCAGCAGTGAGACACCACCACCACCACCACCAAATGAAATTAGTCCTCCTCCACATACAGTGGTGAGTGTAGGGTTAATGGCCTAGTGGGCACTAAAGTTGTGTAAAGTATATGGCTTTTGGTTGAGGTGGACAGAAATGTTAAAACTAACTTTCAAGGTAATACACGAATACTTTGGATTCCAAGTACTGTTGGCCGTTTGAGTTAAGGGGAACCCAATTTGGTAGGAGATGAACTTGATGCCATTAACTTGACAAAATCTGAACCTTTTTCTGTGTTTATGGCCTTGCATCAAGTATCTGTTTTCATAAGCAGGAAGAAGAAGAGGATGATGATTGGGGAGAAGATACAACTGAGGAAGCTCAAAGACGTCGAATGGATGAAATCAGTGACCACGCAAAAGTTCTGACTCTCAGCGATGATTTGGAAAGAACAGTTGAGGAGCGGGTCAATATCCTGTTTGATTTTGTTAAGGTAAAACCTTTGCTGGGTCTATAAATCAGCTTCAGCCAGCCTTGGGCCTTTAGATACATGATACTTTAAACTGTGTAATTATAAAGGATTACTCTATGCATGGCTTATTTTCACTTTTTTGTTCATTCATTAAATAATCTTTGGAGGGCGGTTCCAGGCACTATATGTCAACTGCCAAATTAGGTAGGAAAAAATATGTCCTTTAGAGTAGGGACTGCCTGATACCTTGAGCCTAGCAAGTTGTGCCTGTTTCACTGAATTGTTTTCCTTATTTGCAGAAGAAGAAAGAAGAGGGTATTATTGACTCATCTGACAAAGAAATTGTTGCTGAAGCAGAAAGACTAGATGTAAAAGCCATGGGTCCTCTTGTTCTGACTGAAGTTCTTTTTAATGAGAAGATCAGAGAACAGATTAAGAAATACAGGCGCCATTTCCTACGAGTAAGTGAATTACTCTGAATTCATGAATGAGATTACAGCTATGTGGCTTTCAAGATGGTCATTTTAACCACCTTTGCTTGTCCTGTCATGCTTGAAAGTGGGGATAATTTGCTCACCTCTTCCCATCTGAAAGTGCTGCGCGTAGGGCCTTACAAACTTAATGGGGATCTTTATGCATTGACCTTTTTGAACCACTACTGAATGGGCCATGTACTTACAGAACACTCTTTTTTTTGAGACGGAGTTTCGCCCTTGTTACCCAGGCTGGAGTACAATGGCGCGATCTCAGCTCACCGCAACCTCCGCCTCCCAGGTTCAAGCAGTTCTGCCTCAGCGTCCCGAGTAGGTGGGATTACAGGCACGCGCCACCATGCCCAGCTAATTTTTTGTATTTTTAGTAGAGACGGGGTTTCACCGTGTTGACCAGGATGGTCTTGATCTGTTGACCTCGTGATCCACCCGCCTCGGCCTCCCAAAGTGCTGGGATTATAGGCTTGAGCCACCGCACCCGGACAGAACACTCTTAAGGGAAGAAATATTTGGGTACTAGAGTTGTCAAGTTAGAACATACAAAAAAGCTTGTTAACTCCAAGGTGTCTATTTGCAGTTTTGTCACAACAACAAAAAAGCTCAACGGTACCTTCTTCATGGTTTGGAGTGTGTGGTAGCAATGCATCAAGCTCAGCTTATCTCCAAGATTCCACATATCTTGAAGGAGATGTATGATGCAGACCTTTTAGAAGAAGAGGTCATCATCAGCTGGTCGGAAAAGGTGGGGAATACATAGGTGGGCTCTTTAAGTTCACAAATGTTTGGTTGTGTGCGGGGAGTGGGTGGATGGCAGTTGATAAAAGTCTCATTCTGTCTCAGGGTGGAGTACAATGGTGTGATTTTAGCTCACTGCAGTCTCCGCCTCCTGGGTTCAAGCAGTTCTGCCTCAGCGTCCTGAGTAGCTGGGCTTACAGGCACCTGCCACCATGCCCAGCTAGTTTTTGTATTTTTAGTAGAGACAGGGTTTTACCATATTGGCCAGGTTGGTGTTGAAACTTTGACCTCAGGTAATCCACTTGCTTCAGCATCCAAAGTGCAGGGAGTACAGGCATGAGCTACCACACCAGGCTGTTCACTAGTATTGAGACGGTTTTGGGATCAAGTAGTAGTGTTTAATACCTAGTCTCTATGCTATAGGTTGTGATTCCCACCATGTCTGCTTTGCAGTCATAACAAATTGGTAAGACTAATAATGGGTTTGTTGAGTACATATAGTCTGTTGAGAATTCAGACTTATGACCGAGTCTCTTCAAAGAGCTCAGTAACGGGGGTTGTATAAATAATCAAAAATTTTTAAGTTTGGGAGACTGAGGCAGGAGAATTGCTTGAACCCAGGAGGCAGCGGTAGCATTGAGCCAAAGTCGTGCCACTGCACTCCAGCCTGGGCCGCAGAGTGAGAGTGTCTCAAAAAAATTAAGTCCTCAAGAGAATTGTACCCAATTTTTTAGGCCTCTAAGAAATATGTCTCCAAAGAACTTGCCAAAGAGATTCGTGTCAAAGCAGAACCATTTATAAAATGGTTGAAGGAGGCAGAGGAAGAATCTTCCGGTGCTGAAGAAGAAGACGAAGATGAGAACATTGAGGTAAACAGCATGGGGCGGGGAGGGTGTTTCAGATTTACAGAGGTTTGTGAGGAGTGATAAAGTGGCAGTTTGGGGTAATTTCAAGTTTAAAATTTAAGATGCAATAAAATATAGCCTCCCAGTAATTTGGAAAATAGGGTGATAGAAGCCATTCCTACTCCTACACATTATAGTCTAAAAAAACTTGTAAGATACTAAGACTGGAGCCTGTGTAAGATAACCTATAGGTCTTGCATAGCAAAGCTGTTCAGAGAAGAAGAAATGGCTGCATCTAGGCAGTTGTCCTCCTTTGTGACCACAATTTATATTGATTTGTTTTATAAGCAGGTTTATCAGCTTAATGTTGAACAAAATTATTCCTTTTATCAGGTGGTGTATTCGAAGACTGCCAGTGTACCGAAAGTTGAAACCGTAAAGTCTGACAACAAGGATGACGACATTGATATTGATGCCATTTAAGGGGATGGATGCGACCTAGCTTAACAGTGTAATGCTGCAGTGTTTCCATTATCAGCCGGAAGTGCAACATGTATGTGCAGAAGCTCCAATGGCTAACATCATGCTACACTTTACACTAAAAATCTATTACTGTGAGTGGTCTGTAATTAAGCCCAATGAGACATCTAGGGAGTCCATACACATCAGTGAGCAGATGTAGTTTGCTTATTTATAGCATGTTTCTTTTTGAAAAAATTAGTGGTGGACACATTTGGATCACATTTATACAGTTATAAAAATAAAGATTTGATTTTGGTCATTCTATAGATGTTTGGCTCTGAATGACTTAGGCTGAAGTAACAGGCTCCTTTCTTAAATGTTGTGCCATCATTTCACCTGATGAGCATTCTTGGAGCCTGCTAGATATCGTTAAGTGCTGAGGCTGTTAAGAGGTCTTCAACAGAAGGTAAAGCAAACTTACTTCTAATTACCTTATTCAGCCCATTAAATATAGTACTAAAATTTTATCTGTAGTCCCTCAAATCGGCATCTGGTAATGTGCTTTGTGAGGTAGATTGATAAATGACAGTACAACATCTTACCAAGAAATAAATACAACCTGAGTGTCACGTAAGAGCAGGTTTTGAAACTTGGAGAGTTGTTTTCTTACATCCTGTACACTTGACCCAAATTGCAGTCTTTGAAATCATATGCGTTGCACATTGGATGAGCCAGGGAAATTATTACATTAACAAGCATTTTGTATGTATGTAGTTACTTTGTACTGAGAGAATTTGCTTTGGGGTGCAATTAAACAATAAACATTTTATTTGGGAGAAATGGGGAAGGATGCAGTTATTAGCAACCTAAGCATAATTTTTCGGCTTTTGCCCCTAGGGTTTAAATTACAATTCCAAAATGTTAGGCATACTATATCTTTTTCTTCAGTGTGGCGCGCCCCCCCCCCCCCCCCATGGTTGTTCTTTAATGCCTTTTACATTTGGACACAGTTTACGGTTTTTAGATTTTGGTTGCTATCCTGCCAAAATAAGTATTTACTGTGTTTCAAATCTGATTCCCGCCCCCCCCCCCCCCCGCAGAATGTCTTATTTAAAAAGAAAGGTAAAAGTATACTTCTAAGTCAGAGCCTCTATTTTGGTGTAAGACTTGGGATATTTTTTACTTCACATTGAATATAGCCAGGTACCCAAGAAGTCTGATGGCCACCTGAATGCAGGTGACAAAGATCTGACAGAGCCTATGCAGGGCTTTAGATTTGGACACACAAGAGTCAATAACTTGCCTGTAAACTCCTTGCCTGATCTAAATTCTATGGGTTCCGATTGTGTTTGAGTCATCGTCTTCAAGGTTAAGCTTGTTGACAGTTACCCCTTTCACAAAGTGCACAGTGGGAATTGAGAATCGATAGGGTTTATTTTCGAGCAGTGGCTCATGTATCATTCACCTCTTTTTTGTGACTTATCTCACAGATAATGAGACCTTAATAACAAGCGTAAAAAATTTTTCACATTGAAACGATACAAACATTTGATGTAATAAAACCTTGTTGGCTTG